CTGTCACATAGAGGTAAATCTCAAGCTTACAAATATCATTCGCCTTCACATTGTCTAACCGTTTTTTTTTTTTTTTTATGAATGTTACAGTGGCATTTACAAGTAGGATTGGTAGTCCAATTCATAGAATTACCTGATGAAATTAAGAAACTGAGTCCACCATCGGACTGGGGAAGTTTGTGCCCTAAAAAATAGAATCCAATAGAATCTAAGAATTTTTTATGAACTACTTTACAACAATTTTTTGTATTATTACTAAATTCTCCTCATATGGATTACAATCATTTAATCATGCTAATTAATTAATTAATAAAATTAACGCCGCAAAATATCGTTACGGAGTTTATTATTTACTTGTTGAAGTCATGTTACACATCTCCATACTACAATGAGGACTGAGTTACACACATATTAAATGTTTGACATATTTCAAGTGACATGGTTGCTTGCATTATACGTAACAAAGAAGTTCGGAGTGCCGACAGTAATACCCATACAAAGAAATGAATCCTAAATCAAACCTGCCTCGTTCCCTACCTCCAGACACTATTTCACAAAATGAATATCAAGATTGTCTATCATGCAAGCTAGTAGGTTCGGCGACATTCGTTGGATTAGGTTCTTATTCATTTTGCCTGGCAAAGAAGTCGTCCAATTTTGGAAAAGTTGGTTTTGGAATGCTCGGACTTTGTGAGTATCTACCTGATTCATTATTCAATTTGAGCGGAGAGACTTATGAAATATCCAAAATTCCAGTAGGCATATCGGCGGGAATTGTTCGACTTCTGAAATAAATTATTAAAGATTATCGATATCCAATCTATCGTGTGTCACGTTAAAGTTCTCCCGCGCAAAGTCTTATACGTAAAATGTTTCTGCACAAAATACATCGATCAGTGTCACGGTAGTGTAATGCGATTAATATTATCTGTACGAGTGCTACCCATATGATTGCTGCGAAACAAGAACACAAAGTGAATAAATAATAAATAATAAATCATATTCATTCCTAGTTTTCGTTCTGCAACACTCGGATCAATAATTAAATGATTAAAATGATAAGTCCTATGTCATGATTACTATCGAATTTTTAGATACATGAATAAATTTGATTTTTTTCATCATAAAAAAAAAAAATCTTAAATATCATTATATCATTCCTTAATATGCTTTATGCTGTATGCATAGCGATAAATTATTGATAACCATACCTTTTAAACATTGGACTTGTTTGTTAAAATACCTATACAGTATACGCCGTATATACTAGCTATGTTAAACTTTTGGTTTTGTTTTTTTTTTAAAATAATACATTTCATATTGATATATTGTACTTGAAAATAAGAATTTTTTAACAAGATTGTTATTTTTTTTATTTATTTATTAAATGAAATTTAACATTTGCAAAAAAAAAATTGATTAATTTACACGTATATCTGCATATCTACTGCATAAGTATTTGTATTTTTTTACTTATTAAAATGCACAAATGTTTTTTTCAAAAAATGCCATTTTACTTTTTAAAAAAATTTCAAAATAATTAATAGAACAAATAATCATATTTTTAAACTAGTTTTCAACATTCACCATATATCTATTATTTTTTTAATTATTTATTCTATAACAGTGTTAAAAATTCTTTTACCATTATTAAACAATGATTATATTTTTAAACTAGTTTTCAACATTCACCATATATCTATTATTTTTTTAATTATTTATTCTATAACAATGTTAAAAATTCTTTTACCATTATTTTTAATTAATTTATATTGCTTTTTTTATTAAATCTATAAAATTAATTATATATTTTATTTGAATAGGATATAAAACTGAACTATTTGAAAGTTAATTTATAATTTCAAAAAAATTTTATTTAAAAATATTTTAATAATGTTATTAATATATTTAAAAATTATTATCTTATTAAAGTATTAAGTAATTCTTTAATTTTTTGTTTGTTATTTTATAAATTTTAATATAAAATTTTGTGTTTATAATTTTTTTGAAACAAAAAAAAAGTTTTTTTATAAATTTTAGATTTTTATATTATTAAATAATTGTATTTTTAAATAATTAAAATATTGTTTTATTAAAAAATAAAGTTTTTTAAATTGTTATTAAAAAATATTTTTTTTTCAGATAAAGAGTACTAATAATACATGATCTTTATTGAATAATTTATATTCAATTATATAATTCCAAGATTCATTTAAGTTAACCTATACTTTTATCTATAGCCTTAACTAATTATATTAATTTATCCACCTAGAAAGTGGATCCGTATACAAAATGGGATTTTTAAAAATAGAAATCCTACCATTAGTTTTAAACTATTTAACCTAATCTAAATCTTAGCAGTTGTCATTTAGAGTATATACTTTTCAAGATTGATTAAAACATTCAGATAACTCATTTAATATTTTTTGCCTGGTTTCTTGGAGAAGGTACTGTACTTTTTATCATCACTTGTAACTTCAGATTTCTCTTTTCATTAGATCCTTTTCTTTTTAAGCAATCACTAGATTGAAATAGCCTCAGGCTAGAGTGTTCTTTGTACTACAGAGTTTGCCATATCAGGAAAGGTTGTGAACTTTTATTAATATTAGATTAGAAGTCTTTCCTCATGCAATCTTTTTTGCTTTAATTTGTTTTTAACCTATAATTATCAGAAAGACCAGAGATTTTATTTTATATAGCCTAATTAA